CTGGCCGCGCTGCCCGCCCTGCCCGCCCTGGCCGCGCTGCCCGCCCTGGCCGCGCTGCCCGCTCCGGCTGCGCGACGTCTCCACCACAGATCTCTTCTTGATCGGCAACGTATGCTCTCCGTAAATTTCCGACGCAGACTTTTTCAATTCGAGCAGAGAGGTTTTGGCGAGAGCAGTACTCCTGGCGCGCCTCGGGAGCACCGGGGAGCAGCCCTCCACCGTGTCAGTGGCCAGCTTGAGCAGCTCCCGCGACAAATTCGACTTGCTTTTGGATTTGTTCAAGTTGCTCTTTGGCGTTCGTCCCCCGGCCGTATCCCTGCTGCCGGATGCGCATGCGCCTCTCGGCGATTCTTTGTGCGTGCGTTTCTTCAGCTCGTTCTGTAGCCAGTCCTCCACGTTATCGTTTATTAAAGTGAAAGAATTTAGCAAAGATTGCGCCTTGCGAGTTTTTGGTTTTTGGATCAGCTTCGTGGATAAGCTTTTGGCCCTCGGGTACGCTCTGACCGCCGGCCTGCCCATCAGCAAGTCGAAGGAGGTTTCGGCGTCCGCGTCGGCGTCGGCGTCGTGCCGCTCGCGGAACATTTCCTCGACTCCACTCACGTCGTCGAGCTCATTCCTGGGGGAGTGCCGCCGCAGAGTCGCCCTGACGCCGGATACGTCGCGCAGGTCGTTGGCGGGGCTTCTCCTTCTGTACAACTCTCTCACCCCTGAAACGTCCCGCGGATCCCTCTCGGGCGATTCCTGGAAAAGTAACCTGAGCTTCGGAACCCTTCTCAGATCGTTTTCTGGCGACGCCGCGAACAACTCCTTGACTCTGACGTCGGATAAACGATTTCTCGGCGACCGCGCAAAGAGAGATTTGATTCCGGAAACCTTGGTCAAATCGTTTTTAGCAGATTTCCTATGTGTCGATCTGTTACTTCCCGGGGCATTCCGAATGGCGGTCGTCTCCGCCGCTCCTTCCCTCCACCGCCGCAGCTTGAAGCCGACGCTGCGCCGGTCGCCGGCGGTCGCGGTCAGGGGACTCACGAACACTTCCGGCGTGATGGCCGGCGTTCGCTCCATCGACGAATCATAGGTGGCAACGCCAGTCGGAGCGATCGTGTTTCGCGTCAACTTTTTCGGCGGGGTGGTTTCGTCGTCCACGAGCTGTTTCTTAGAAAACTCGATCATGCTCTGGGAGAGCTTTCTCTTCACCGGACTGTTGAAAAGCTGTTTAACGATATCGGAATCGTTCAAGTCGTCGATAACGGACCTTATCGATTTCGGCCTCTTGGCGGTCGAATGTTTGTTTTTTACCGCCTCGTAGACGAGTTTAACCATTTTCTTCGGTGTCATGTCCCCATCATCGGGAAGTGGATCCTCTTCATCGGGAGAGGTCGGAGCATTCTTTAGGTTTGTAGATCGCGAGGCGGCCGTCGTGCCGAATGTGAACGATTTGGAGTTGAGGGTAGCGCGCTTGCGGAGGGCGGACAATCGACCGCCTATAGTTTTCCTGGCGGCGCCGCGCGGGGGTCGCGACCTCGACACCCTCCTACTAGAATTTAATAAGCTCTGTATGCTCAACACCGGAGTAAACACTTCCTCGGGGCTATTGTGGTTTTCAGGGGTGGACATCCCGTTGGGCGGCGAGGTGGGCGGCGAGGTGGGCGCCCCGGCCGGCGTCGAAGACTTCGAGGGCCGACGAGATGGACTCGCAACACTGACAGGCGACGAGTCGTCGGCACCACCTCGGCTGCGGCTCGATTTCGATATTGTGGAATCCCTCGTTTCCTTCGATGTTATATTTTCCGAGGAGTCCTTCAATGTCGAAAACGATTTTGTTCTGCTCGATTTACCGGAAATATTAAAAGTGTCTCCCGTAATATTCGTCGAAGAGAATTTGGTCGCATCCTCGTCGCGAGTAACACTTCCTTTTCCATGATGGGGCGGGGTGTTCAGGTGTCGCGTATTTCTAGTACTATTAAGCGTGATCTCTGGAATGTTGTCTATATGAAGCGAGGATCGAGCGCTGATATCGTATGTAGCATCGTGCGTGTGGAGGGGGGAGCGGGGCGGGGCGTCCAGCGGGCGCGGCGTGCTGGCGGCCAGCAGGCGCGCACTGGACTGCGGCGTGGTGAACCTGGAGGCGGTCGCTTCGGATGCGGAGCTGTACACGGAGCCTGCCTCGCTCGACTCCATCGATACTAAATCGATCACGGAGTATGATTCTATTTTGTTATCCACCTTAGGGGAATTACGCGGACTTGAGGTCCTCGTGTTGCGCCTCGAAGGGGCGGTGGTGTCCCAGCTGAGGTCCTTGAAGGAGCTCGTAGATTGATAGGCGCACGATTTGTCTGGGGTTTGCAAAACTTTGTGGAGCATCAAGCTGCCGCGCGAGGACTTGTTGAGGTTGTGCGGGG